ATTTGTATCGATGCATAATATTTATAGCGCTCTCAGCATGCGTTTGCATCGGTACCCTGAAATTAGTGTAGTTAACCATAAACAAATATAATTTCAGTATTTATTCAAATTAGATGAGTTACATTCATTGTGCTTTTTTATGTAATGTCGTCGATGATTTTCATATTCAAAACAAAATCATTAGGTAATTTTTAAGTTTTGCTCACTGAAATCAGCTTTAAACATTAACAGAAAATATTGATAAAATTGTATGCCATATTTTTGTACGATCACGAAAAGACAAAGGCATATTAATAAATAAATTAAATTTTCCGATATGAAAAATTTTGAAGCTTTAAAAACTTATCAGGTATTGGATAACTGACGTCATTCAGGCGCTGCCAAGTATGTGATATAAATATTCACTGATGCTGGTAGGGATGATACAAGATGTCGTATTTCCTGCATTTATTAAATATAATGTACTATGATACTATCGCAATTCCGGCTCAACAAATTAACGTTTAATCAGGTAGCGTAGTTGGCCCGGAACAGCCAACGGGGCTCCATGACACGGAGCAATTAACTACGGCAGCTGTAGTACCTGAGTGTCTAGGTAATAAACTTTTATATTTAGTATAATTTTGAGGTAAAAATCACGGATTTTGTGGCAGATCTCCATGTGTCTCTCCATGTCTCATGTGTCTCTCCATGTTCAAGTGTCTCATCATCATAGCGTTCAAAAACCTTTTCATCACAACGTTCAAGAGTCTTTCGTCTGTGAAGTGGGAGGTTGTAAGTTCCCAACATTGCCGTTTTCTGTGAATGGTATCAAATAATATCGTAAAAAACGTATATTCCAGCGAATACTATAAAAATTTTGAAATTTTCTGATGCGTCGTTCATTGATAGTTTTAAGAAATGTTTGTTATTGCTCAAATTTGCTCCCACAATTTCGCATTCAGAAGTGAAGAAAATTAATTAATTTTCTCACCAAGTTCAGGGATACTCAAATATTTTTCTGCGCCTCTAGTTGGCGGAGGCGCGACCGCCCCAATGTCGGGTCTCCGACGCCTGCTGATTCTGTACATTCCGTCTTTTCTGTCTCAATAAATTTACAGGTGAGTGCATTCTGCTCGATGAAAGATTTCCTGTTGTGCGTTGATAATTTTTTCATTTAATATATTCATTTGCGTTTATACTGAATATTCATGACGCGTTATACATTTCTAATATTTTATTCGTCAGCCACGAACGCTTAAGTAGCTAATGATATGATGATTTAAGTTAATATCTAATGAATGTTTTGGTAACCGCATAACTGCTTGTTATATCAGATGTGAAGACGTAAATCCGCATGTTTGGTACATGTTGGACATTTAGGTGGACAAAGGTGGGCCTTTTTCATATCAAAAGTAACAATTTGGGCCATTTTTCATTGCGTTGGCAATCAAACATCTACGTAGGTTTTGTATTTATTGTGTATATGAACGCATAAAAGCACGAAAATTGCAGTTAACATTGCTCTGGAAATTTTAAATGTACTCGAAAATATTAAACTTTTGGATATAAGACTCATTTGTTTGTAAGTTGATTTGGCCGTACCCTCTTGCCGACATCTGGCAACTCTTTCTGGCCTGGTGCCCAGGTTCCGCCGCCGGTGCAACGTCAGTGTTGATCCAGAGCTCGAGGTGTAAGTGTGTCGCTCCTCCGCAGGTGCGCGTGCCACGGACTCTGTTGTTATAGCCTGTCATTCTTTCTTCCCATTGATTTTTTCCATGCATCTGCCAGAATAAATTACGTTGCGTGTACTGTAATAAATATTATAGACTTTCAGAATGTTACTTGGCGCGGATAATTACATGT